AATTTTATGTGAAAAAAAGTTAGACCATAGAATATTTTGTGATGTTAGATGATATAGTCTAATATTTTATTATTTCTAGAGGTTATAATTGCACAATTTTTAAAAATAAAAACAAAATCTAAACGATGGCTTGCTATATATAAACCCATTAAAAAGGTGGAAAATGAAAAAGGAAAAAAAAAAATTAAAGAAATAGGACAAAACACAATTAAAAGGTCTAGTTTTGCTCATAATGTCTAATTGCACAAACATCTTAACATAATATCAATACTATAAGAAGTTAGAAGCAAGACACTTCTTTATCGACGTATCTATTTTATGTTGAAAATACTATTTTTAAAATTTTAATATTCAATATTAAGGAGAGGCTAGAAGTAAATACCTCTCCATCGATGTACCTTCTTGGGATGGGGAGGGTTACTTTTGAAATTCAAGCCTTTCCGTCAATGTGTTTGCTTTATGACGAAGGAATTTTTTAAAGTCCAATGTCTATATTTTAAAGGTGTTTTACAAATGATTTTTTTTCACTTTTCATTTTTATACTATATGTATTTACACATTTAATTTCCACTTCTAAAAATATTTTAAAAGTATGAGAATTTTCTTTTAATTGTTTTTCTGAAGCGGTCATAATTTTCAATTCCGACATATTTCAGACGCTTGAAGATTTTGCTGACACAAAGTGATTTAGAAAGGTTCTCTTTTATCAATGGTGGTCAATTATGGTATCGATGACTTCACTTCTTTTTCGATCAAATCCTGATTTCATTTTGCTTCTTCTGATCGTCACGCCTTATTGACTCAACTCTTTTTCCTGACCTCGATCTCTCTTTTATTGGCAACATTTCAGTGTGCAAATTGGGTTATTAATTTGTATTTTTTTTATGCTTCATAAATTCAAAAAAATTGTAATATTTTAATAAAACTTCAAAAATATAATTGTAAAATTGTCCATGAGAAGTCAACTATTTACAACGAACGAAGACATAATTTATCTATAAGCCATGCAAGAATACTTATTGGAGAAAAGTAGATATGAAGAAGCTTGACTTTGATTTAATTTTGGTGAAAGTTTGGTTATTGAAAAAGATAATTATTGAATTTAATATTTTTTGTATGTTACAATCCAAGTTCAAGAATTTGAAACAATTAGTTATACTGTATTTTATTTTAAAAACAAATCTCTTTTGACATTTGATGTCTAGTTATTCTAGCTTAGCTTCTACTTTTAATATTAGGAATGATTATTGATTAATTAATATATAATGTGTTTCCATTTACTTTTTGTTCTTAAAATTGTTTTTCCTAATTGTAAACGTGTATTTTATAGTAAATACATATACATTTTTTTTAATTAAAAAGTACTTTTGTATATCTCTTGATTTCAAGAGAAAAGAGCTTGATTACTACTCCCGCCGTCTCTAATTAGTTTTCATATTTATTTTTTTCAAAGACAATTTGACTTATTTTTTAAAAACTATATCAAATTATCAACTCAAGATATTACCTACTTTTCTCATGTTAATTTGCTAAAATAATGTTCCCTGTATTTCATATTAATTGAATTTGTAAGACAATGCACACTTATTAAAAAAAACATTTAAGAGCATAATTTAAATCATATTTTTCACTATTTTCTTTTGTAAAATCATAAATATAACTTTGTTAGTAGTGCAATTTATCTCCTAGAAAATATCAAACTTCATTAAAGGAAATGACAAATATGAAAAATATTTCAAACAACCATCTTGAACTTAATTTGAACAATTCAATTATTTTAAACAATGAAAAAAATCCCAAAAAATAAGTTAATAAGGAATAGAGGGATCGTAGTATATTCTAAGATATTAGTCAATTAAAGTCCATATAATTTGACTTTAATGAAGCAAAACATGGCAACTAATACGAGATGGAAAAATAACTAATATTAGTGAAAAATATACTCAAAGGTATTACCTTTCATTGTTGAGTATAGATACTTATAAACCTTTTTAAATTATTATATACTTAATTAACTCTAGGAATCCATGGTAGTTGGTGTTTGGAACTAGAAATCAACTAAAAGTCTTATTTCCAACCTACAATTGACTATATTGGAGTTATTTTAGAAAATATCACTTTCCTTTTTTTGTTCTTTTTCTTTTTAGGTATTTTATATACGTGCTAACTAATATTTTGGGATAAAATTCACAAATAGTCGCTTTAATTGAAAAATAGTTATCATCGTAAAACTTTAAATTTCACCAGAAAAAATTTCATGACACTGTCTGTTTATCAAAAGTCAAAGTTAGAAAGTAGTTGATCAAGCTATTTCTATGATATTTTGTCTTTTTTTTTTTCTTCTCATCGTGTAGTCAATTTTATCTTCACAAAATAGAAATAAAATTACATACATGTAATCTTTTTCCGACTTTACTTATGAGTTTCACTTGATATGTTATTATTAATTTTTAGTGAATCTTTGTTAAATTTTTAATAAAACATCTAGAATGTTTTAGGTGTTTTGTTGACATCATATGAAAAAATGAAAAAAAATATATAACATATGAATAAATTAAGTCTAGGAAAGCAACCTAATTCAAGCACAATGTTTTTTCAAAATGTAAATCAAACACGTACGATTTGGTTTTTGAAAACCAAACTAATGGAACGTTTGATCATGAAATTTTTTAAAATTATTTTTAAAGTTAAAATTTTGAAAAATACATTTGATCATAAATTTTCAAAAATTTTAAATATCAAAAGAATAGCTTTCATGTTTTCACTTCAAATTACTTAAAAAAAAATACTTAACAAAGAGTGTTTGCTTTAATAAGTCATATGCTCTACAAATTTAAATTAATCATTACTCGAACTAATAAATTTGAAATATCAGATGATTACGAAAAAAAATAAGTGTTGAAAATTGGATGTAAAATAACTACCGCACCAACTCGAAAAGGTGGAATAGTATAAGAAATTGGACTATGAATACGTGTTTTCTACCCAACCTTTTGACTTCTACTCTTTTTCCTTTTTTTATTTATTTTTATATTCGATATTTATATTATGATTTTGAATAATTTATATTTATGCTATGTAAAGCTCATTAAAAAAGAAAATGTTCCCAACTTAAGACTTCGACCCCAAATTATAATCAAAACTGTTTATTGTTTATCATGGTCTTTTCTTTTTTTAGTTTATCATCTGATATTCGATATTTATATTAGAGTCTAATTAATCTAGATTCGTATCAAATAGGATCTATATGTCTACTATAATAGTACTGTACTCCTCTCACCTTAGATTTCGTTTTCATTATAGCAATAGGCCAATTTATATATATATGGGGGTGGAGGGTGTGTGGGGGGTGGGGGAGGGGGGGCTGACTTAGTAAACAAGAAAAAGTGATGGCTTTTTTATGGAAAAAAGTTTATGATAAAAATATTATTTATCTATTTTTGGTAGAGAAAAAAAAAAGTATACCTTTGTGCTCAACTAGCATTTTCATAATTTATATTGATATTTTTTGTTTAATTATTAAGTGGCAACCAAAAAATAGTTTGAAATATATGTTTTATTGATTTAAAAGGATGAAATTAATACGATAAATAGAGAGTCAAATAAATAATAAAACAAACTTTCCGTTTAGTTTTAATACTTCATTATATCTTTGATATATGTGTATCTTTGTTGTTAGTGAATTATCTCGTATTTGTATGTGTCATTAGTGGAATTTTAGTTTGAATGAGTGAACTCCAACTCAATATTTATTTCGTAATTACTTATATTTATTTAAAATTACTTTCACATTAGAATTTCATCAAGAATTAAGAGCAAAAACAAGACTTTTTCTAACATTATGAATAACATTAGACCAAAAGTCTAATAGTATAATAAATGATATAATACGCAAATTTGACTATTTTCCAAACATTATTGTTGACCATTTTTTATTTTGAAAAACTTGACCCCTATTAAACATTTTCCCATTAATATACAAAAACAAATCGGTCCATTAATTCACCACTTTAATTCTTTTCTTCTTTTTTAATTCTCAGTGGCAGAAAAAAGTCACATAATTAATTTTTATTAATTATTGGAACTCCACCCCAAGTCTCACTACCAATGACTCATATAGCGTATTTCTAGCAAATTAAATACATTACTTGTTATTTTTTTCACATCTTTTGAATTTTTTTTTAAAAAAAATTAACCTTTTTTACCTGTTAATTACAGTTTAATACTATTCCTAATTTTTTGTCATATTAATTCCTTTCCCTATTTATTAAGTATATATATGTAAAGGTGAAAACAAATATTACTTTTATCTATTTTTGCTCGTTCATGTTGACTTAACATATTCATAAAAGATAATAAAAAATAACAATATTACTATATCACCCTTATTTTATCATAAGTCATCTAAATATTTAAAAAAATCTTTAATCATAAGGATAACACAAAAATGGTAAATTATCTTGATTTTTCAAGCTAAATAAATAAAATTGAATATCTATTTTCAGTATTGTAAACAAATAAAAATAGACAAAGAAATATTTAATATATTTTGATTTTTTTTTCCAAAAATTGGGGATATGAGAAAGGAAAAATGAGGGAGAGGTTACAAGACGGAAGATCCAACCCTCACCAATAAAATTGAAGTTTGAATAATCAACCAACTGAAGTACTAAATTTTTTAAGTTGACTATTTTTAATAAGCAGGATAACTAAAATGAACCGAACGAACACTACTAATACAACAAGAAGTTCGATAAAATCTCACAAAATGAAGTCGAGAGGATAGAATATACGTAGATCTTATCACGATTTGTTAGAGATAGAGAAATTGTTTCCGGTCCCGAGTACTTCTAATAAATATAGGAAACTCCTATTGTTAAAAATAATTGCACTTCTCCCTCTCTCTCTCTCTTTGTGAATGTGTAAAGTCTCCAATTGGGATATAATGGAATAGCAAAGAACACAGCAGCCCTATTTGGACCATCAAAGAAGAGAGTTGAGTTTTGAACTCAAAACAAAGTAAAAACAAACAAAACAAGAAAATACCCTTTTTGTTTCTCTACCTCAAGCTTCCATTTTTTTTTTCTCTTCCTTGTGGTTCAAAGGTTTGATTTTTTTCTTGTTTTTCCATTCATTCATCACTTTTGTCAAGTACCCTTTTCTTGTTTCTTGTCCATTTGTACTTTTGTGATGTTTTCTTTGATTTTGAAGCTTGATACAGATAGAAATGAACAATCTTGATGTAAAAAATTGTGTAGTTACATCATATATGTGAAAAGTCTTTTTTTTTTTCCTTTTTTTGTGTTCTTTTTGAGTTTTAAGAAGATGGGTGTGTTGCAACTTTGTGTGATCTTTTTGTTTCTTGGGATTTGCTTACAAGCTCAATCTCAAAATCCCCAGAACTTGATATGTAATCCAAAAGATTTTAAAGCTCTGGAGGGTTTTGTGAAGAGTTTAGAGACAGTTCTTGATTTCTGGGATTTGGGGAATTCTACAAATTGTTGTAATTTGGTAGGTGTTACTTGTGATTCTGGGAGGGTCGTGAAGTTGGAGCTTGGGAAAAGAAGGTTAAATGGGAAACTTTCTGAATCTTTAGGTAATTTGGATAAGCTAAGAACCCTTAATCTGTCTCATAATTTCCTCAAAGGACCTGTTCCTTTTACACTGTTGCATTTGTCTAAATTGGAAGTATTGGACTTGAGCAATAATGATTTCTTTGGATTGTTTCCTAGTGGCATGAACTTGCCTTTGCTTCAAGTTTTCAATATATCTGATAATTCCTTTGAAGGACCAGTTCCTATGGGTATCTGTGAAAATTCAACTAGAGTTTCTGTTATTAAGATGGGGGTTAATTATTTTAATGGTAGTCTTCCAGTAGGAATTGGGAATTGTGGTTCATTAGAGCTTTTTTGCCTAGGCTCTAACCTTCTTTCTGGTAGTTTGCCTGATGAACTGTTTAAGCTACCAAGATTGACTGTATTGTCTCTACAAGAGAATCGAATCTCGGGACAGCTTAGCAGTCAGATTGGTAATCTGTCTAGTTTGGTTCATTTGGATATTTGTTCAAATGGATTTTCAGGAAACATTCCAGATGTGTTTGATAGATTAGGGAATTTAACATATTTGTCAGCTCATTCAAATAGATTCTTTGGTAATATACCAACTTCATTGGCAAATTCTGGGACTGTTAGTTCTCTTAGTTTGAGAAATAATTCTTTAGGGGGTATCATAGAGCTTAATTGTTCAGCAATGGTTAGTCTTGTTTCGCTTGATCTGGCTACAAACGGGTTCCGTGGGTTAGTTCCTGATTATCTTCCTAACTGTCAAAGGTTGCAAACTATCAATCTGGCTAGAAACTCTTTCACTGGACAACTGCCGGAAAGTTTCAAGAATTTTCATAGTCTTTCATCCCTTTCTGTCTCGAACAACAGTATGCATAATATTGATGCTGCTCTCAGAATTTTACAGCATTGCAAGAACTTGTCTACGTTGGTCCTTACTCTGAATTTTCGGGATGAGGTTTTGCCTACTGATCCTAGCCTGCAGTTTAGTGAGCTGAAAGCTCTCATTATTGCCAATTGCAGACTCACTGGAGTTGTTCCTCAGTGGTTGAGAAATAGCTCAAAACTGCAACTGTTGGACTTGTCATGGAACCGTTTGACGGGAACACTTCCACCTTGGATTGGAGATTTCCAGTTTCTATTCTATCTGGATTTTTCCAACAACTCGTTTACCGGGGAGATTCCAAAAGAAATTACCGGATTGGAGAGCCTAATCTCTGGCCCTGTCTCAATGAATGAGCCATCACCAGACTTTCCCTTTTTCTTGAAAAGAAATGTAAGTGTTAGAGGGTTGCAGTATAATCAGATTTTTAGCTTCCCTCCAACACTGGAACTAGGTAACAACTTTCTCACTGGAGCAATTTTGCCGGAATTTGGGAATCTGAAAAGGTTACATGTTTTGGATCTAAAAAGCAACAACTTATCTGGGACAATACCAAGTAGCCTGTCTGGTATGGCGAGCGTAGAGAATTTGGATCTATCCCACAACAATCTGATTGGCAACATACCCTCCTCTTTAGTCCAATGCAGCTTTATGTCAAAGTTCAGTGTTGCTTATAACAAGCTCTCAGGGGAAATTCCTACTGGAGGTCAGTTCCCAACATTTCCAACATCAAGTTTCGAGGGAAACCAAGGACTCTGCGGTGAACATGGTAACCCCTGTCAAAATGGCAGCCAAGTTCCTCGTGACTCGGTCAAAGGAAAGAGGCGCAAAGGAACTGTCATTGGCATGGGTATTGGTATTGGTCTTGGAACAATTTTTCTTCTTGCTCTCATGTACTTGATTGTTATACGGGCAAGCAGTCGAAAAGTAGTTGATCAGGAAAAGGAGTTGGATGCTTCTAACAGGGAACTGGAGGACTTAGGCTCAAGTCTGGTGATATTTTTCCATAACAAGGAGAATACTAAAGAGATGTGTCTTGATGACCTTTTGAAATGTACAGACAACTTTGATCAATCAAATATTGTTGGATGTGGGGGCTTCGGCTTGGTCTACAAGGCCATTCTTCGTGATGGTAGGAAAGTTGCCATCAAGCGGCTTTCAGGTGACTACGGGCAGATGGAACGAGAATTCCAAGCTGAAGTTGAATCGCTTTCAAGAGCTCAGCATCCAAATCTTGTTCATCTCCAAGGATATTGCAAGTACAGGACTGACCGGCTTCTAATTTATTCCTACATGGAGAATGGAAGCTTGGATTATTGGCTGCACGAGAAAGTTGACGGACCTGCTTTATTGGACTGGGATCTGAGACTTCAGATTGCTCAAGGGGCTGCAAGAGGACTTGCATACTTGCACCTAGCGTGCGATCCTCATATCTTGCACCGAGATATAAAGTCTAGTAACATTCTTCTTGACGAAAACTTCGAAGCTCACTTAGCTGATTTCGGTCTTGCAAGGATTATTCGGCCCTACGACACTCATGTGACCACTGATGTTGTCGGAACATTAGGCTATATACCTCCTGAATATGGTCAAGCTTCCGTTGCTACCTATAAAGGGGACGTGTATAGCTTTGGTGTGGTTCTTTTGGAGCTTCTAACATGCAAAAGACCGATGGATCCGTGCAAGCCTAGAGCAAGCAGAGATTTAATCTCTTGGGTGATCCAAATGAAGAAACAGAAGAGGGAAACTGAAGTCTTTGATCCTCTGATATATGACAAGCAGCACGCGAAGGAAATGTTATTGGTCCTTGAAATTGCTTGCCTTTGTTTGCATGAATCACCTAAAATAAGGCCTTCTTCGCAGCAGTTAGTTACTTGGCTCGACAACATAAACACACCACCTGATGTTCATGTGTTTTAGAGGAAAACTTGTTGTCGATAACTTATATTTTCAGCGGATGTCCTGCACATATAGCAGTGTATTCTGGTGTAAATGGTTGTATCTTATCCCTATTTGTATCTTCCTGGAATTGAAGAATATATACTATGTTTCTTCTCAAACATGTACAAATAACATTGTGAATTTTGGATGTGACTTTATTTACCTAATAATAGATGAACATCAGTTTATTCCTTCTTGTACTTTTCAATTCTATGGTGGTTTCTTCTCTTTAATTTTTGTATGTTGGCTCTGTTTCATTGTTTGTTCAATCGAGAATCTTTCAGAAACTGTCTTTCTACCTTTTCAAAGGTAGGGATAAGGTCTGCGTACACTCTACTTCTTCAAACGCCACTTGTGGATCACATTGCGTTTGTTATTGTTATTTCCACAACAAAGACTTGTTTAAGTAATGTAGTTGTAGGATCTTGAAGGCTACACCAATTTTGTAGGTTATAAGGATAAAAAATTGTCACTAAACTATGCGAAATGACGTGACTTTGCCTTCCGTTAAAAGTTGGAGTTAACCGTGTTTTCCGCCATTACTAAATTGGTCCAAATTTTGATCAAGCTTTCAAAATGAGCTTTATTTAAAAATAATTCTTTATCATAAGTGTTTTGTGAGAATAGCATATTGTGTTTTGTTAAATCATTTGAAAAATACTTTATTAGTAACGCCCCACTAGTGGATAAGGGCATATTCAAGCTAATCTAGTAACGGGGACACGTTTGCTCCCAACATTTAACGGAGGGTAAAATCGTGTCATTTCGTATAGTTCAAGGGTATTCTGACCATTTATACAACTTCATAAGGTATTACTCTCTCTGTTTCACAAAGAATGGTCTAGTTTGACTTGACACGAAGTTTAAGAAAATAAAGAAGATTTTTGAATCTATGACCCTAAATTAAAGTTATGTCAAATATACAAAATTGTCATTTAATCTTGTAGACTTAAACATGTCACGTGGAAAGCTGAAATTAAAATGTTACCAAAAAAAGAAAGAAGTCATTCTTTTTTAAACTGACTAAAAAGAAAAAGAGGTCATTCTTTGTGAAACGAGAGAGTAATATAAAGTGACGTCCTTGTGTGTGAATTTGCTCACATTATCGCTTTCTAGTGGAATAAAGAAAAATAGACATCTTAAGTTTGACAACAATTGTTAAACTAATTAATTTATGATTAATAAGAAAACTTTCATGTTCAACTGCCAGCTGGAACCAGTCTGAGATTTCTACCAAAGCTAGGAAGAAGGGGTGGGGGGTCTATTCATTGGTCTATCAGAAATTGTCTTTCTGCCCTACAAACTACAAAGATAGATGTAAGGTTTACGTATGTTCTATCACTTCAAGTATAAGACTACACTGAATATGTCGTTGTTGTTGTTGTTTGTTGGCTTCATTTTTTTCCTATTGGTTAATGCTTCTTGAAGAGAAAATCCATTTGAAAGACATATTGTCTTATATCCCCTCTTTTTGAGGGGTCAAATGACCAAATATTTATTTATTTATTCCTATTTAAAGTCATAAATTTCTAATGGGAAACAGAATAATGAGAAGAAGGAAGAAAAACTTGTTGGTTGGGTCCTACAATTTTGTCAAAAAGTCTAATAATTTTTTCCCATTTTTCTACCAACAGTTCAAACAAGTGGTTGAACAAATCAACAACTCTGATATCCAAAAATAAATAAATGATAGTACTAAATTAAATAGATTTTTCCAGGTTTTAAGTATTAAATGTTTGATTTATGAAAGTCTACGTAGTTAAGAATCTCCTTGATTTACACCAACTATTTCCTACTGAAAATCTCAATATTTATTACGATAATATATTGGGGAGTCTGTTTGGTCAAGTTTCTGAAAGTCAAAATATTGAAAATATTTATTTTAAAGAATTAAGGTGTTAGCCAAACTTTTTAGGAAAAAAAATAAGTATTTTTGAAAATATATATATCATTCATCAAACAAAGGCTTCAAAATCAAACATTTGAAAATACATTCATTTTCCAATATCATTCATCAAACAAAGGTTTCAAAATGAAGCATTTGAAAATACCTTCATTTTCCAACAAACATAGACTAAACCAAAACCCTTTAACTAATTATTTACAAAATGAATCTTCTTACAACAAATTTCCTTTAAATAATTTTTTACTAGACCAAGGAAAATGTTGGATTGAACCTAATTAATAATACGGAAAAGGGTCAAAATTTCTCCCGAACTATATGAAATAGACCATTTATACCCTTCGTTACATTTTGGGATAAAAAATGCCCCTGTTATTATCATAAGAGACCACAAATACCCTCAAGAATTAACACCCCAAATTTTTGTTGACGTGGCAAGCCACGTGGGACTAATCCTTCCACCTAAGCGTTGCCAACTAGGATTCACTACAAAAGAACTAGACCTTTAGCGGCAACAACAGTCGCCACAAAAGCCTAAAAAATCGTCACTAAAAGTTTTTAACATTAAATTCTAATTTTGTGTTTTTTTCTTCATTGTTTTTAAAAAACCAAATATGATATCGATTAAGTAGGAGTTTGAAGACACTATATGTTTTATTTTTATGTCATATGTAAATGTATAAAATGTACAATGATGCATTATATATATAGTAGGAGATTTGAATCGAGAAGTAATTTTGATTATTTTTCGTAATAATATTGGATGTTTTTAATATGGATATTGCAAGTTATTTATTTTAGAAAATTAGGTCGCAATCGAAAATTAATTATCATATTTTTTTGTTGAAAAAATAGGTTTTACTAGCGAATGGTTGTTGGAGCCTTAGTTGCCACTAAAAATCACTCATAACCTTTAGTGGCAATATTTTGGATTGTGTGGCGACTTTGTCGCCACTAAAAGTCAAGTTCTTTTGTAGTGAATCTTAGTTGGCAATGCTTAGGTGGAGGGATTAGTCTCATGTGGCTTGTCACGCCACTAAAAAATTGGGGTGTTAACTCTTGAGGGTATTTGTGGTCTCCTGGGATAACTGCGGGGGTATTTTTGATCCCAAAATGTAATGGAGGATATAAGTGGTCTATTTCACATAGTTCAGGGGCAATTTTGACCCTTTTCCGTTAATAATAAACCATAGACTCACCTTAAATAAATACTAAATAAGAAACTAGATTTGTGTTGGTGGCTAAAAATCTTCTTGTACCTTTTCAAAGGGATAATGCGCCAGATTTAACATCTAAATTAGAAATTAAATAATAAATTATTTCTTAATTTTTTAAATTAAATAAATAAAAATGGATATCTGAATTTTAATTCAGTAAACAAGTAAAAATGAAGGGAGAAGTATTGGAAACATCCTTAAACTTGACGAAAATTATTAGTTTCAGATAGTTTTAAAAACATCCTTCTACTTGATTAACTAAATTTAGATACACCCTTGATTTGTCACATAATATAGCAAGTAGTTTCAAACTCTTGTAGGAGCATGAAATTCTTAATAAAAAAACCCAGAGAAGTGTTGAAAACATCTCTAAATTTTACGAAAATTTAGGATTGCATATCACTCATGTTGCAAGATTAAGGGTGTATTTAAATTTCATTACTCAAGTGAATTTTTTTTAAGACTATGAATAATTCAAAAATTAAACTAATAATTTATATAGACTTTAAAAGCGTTTTCAATATTTGTCTCGAAAATAGGAAACAAATGAATTGAGGGAGTAGTTTGGTGTAAGTCAAAGTAAGGTTTTATTACTCAAATAAATGCAAAAATTCTTAGTCAAAACTAGTGGTTTAGAGCAGAGACGCATTTATGGCATTTGGAGCATTATTTAATTATTATTATTTTTAAAAAATAATCATTTTATTCTCCATTTCGACTTGAATATTTTACTGGAGTATTTCCATTTTTCCAAAAAAAAAATGAAAAGAAGTTTGACTACATTTCTTTTGTTTTCCAAAAGCCAAATGTTTGTTTTCTAAAAATAGAAAAGATAAACTTTTGACAATAGTTATTGGTAGACGACAGGTTATGATCTACCTTTTCCATTGTTTTAAAATATTTGTCGTAATTTTTATTTACATATTTTTTTAGAAAAAAATAAGTAGAAAAATAAGAGATATTTAACTATTTTATAAATTAAATATAATTATTTTTAAAATTACGATAAATAATTTCAGAAATAGGAAGTACAAAAAAATCAACCCAATTTAATAGATGACGGTTTATCCACCTTTAATTAATAAGGTTGTATATCAAAAGAGATTATAATAGAGTGGTAAATAATTTTTTGTCATTAATTAGAAGTTTCATATTCGAGTAATATCGGCAAGGAAGCAAAGGTGTTCAAACATAGAAATTCTTTGTCGATCCACCTCTACTTTTTCTTAGACATATCATTGTCAATCTCTCACAACTTCTCACTAGGGTATTTGTGCTCCTCGATCTCTTTCGTATACTCAAACCATTTTAGTCTTGTCTTCTGTATTTTATCCACAACAAAGTCACCCTTACCCTACCCCTTATATCTTCATTCCTAATTTTGTCTCTCCTAATACATCCACGCATCCAATCTAAGCTACCTCATTTCTGCTACAATCATCTTTTAAAGGTGATAGTTCTTGACTGGCCAACATTTAGCCCCCTACAATCAGGGGCGGACCCGCGTGGTATCCAAGGGTTCACCCGAACTCCTTCGTCAAAAAATAACACGGTATATATAAGGTAATTTTTTTGTATTTTTGTAGATATATAAATTTTGAACCCCCTCAATAACAAAGAGAAATTGATGGTGCAATGGTAAGTACCCTTGAAATTAAGTTGTATGTCATCGGTTCATATCCCAGTGAAAGCATTTTAATTTTCAGTTCTGTTTTTTTTTTGTTTTTTCTTTCTACTTTAAAAAATATGCTAAAAGTTTGGTTTTAAACCCAAAAGAATTCAAGGTTTCCATTTCTAAAGGCTTATTTACACGTTTATACTTTTATTTTTCGAACCCCAAAACGAAAATTCTAGATCCGCCTCTGCCTACAACAAAATTGATCTAATCATTCTATAGAACTTATTTTTAAGTTTAAGTGAACACTCTTATCACATATGACAACAGATACGAACTTTCCTTCCATCCAAAGGTCGATTTGCATTTTATCGATTTTTGGCGCTAAAAAGATCCACCTTCGATGGTCTATTTATTCCGGCCTCTTTTGAGATTAATTTTTGACATATTTTTAGTAGTGAAGTTATGTACTCTATTTTAGTCATGCTCAACTTGAAGCACTTGGACTCTAGGGTCTATCTCAAAACCTCTGATCGTTACGAGTAATGCACCGTTTATAGAAAAAAGAACACATTCCAAACCTGCAATTCATTAACAAGCTCTTGCTATACACAAATTTTTAACTAGCCTACAATGTGGACAATCAATCAACAATGCCCTATCTTTGTGAGATATTGAGAGAGATTGATACTAAAACAATGAGAGGGGTATAAGAAAAATAAAATGAAGTGAAGTGTGCTCCCCTATATAGTAGCTGCAAACAATTTTGATCAAGCATTTGGAGACCAATCAAAACTAGAATAAACAACATTAACAGGTCCACCATCACCCATAACATGTGTCAAAAGACCTGCTTTAGTTGCATCTAAGTAACCTGTAATCCACTTCAGTATTTCCTTTTCCTGTCCAAAATCAGTATTGTACCTGCAAAGTGAATATGTTGGATACATTAGGAATGGTAGCGAGGCTGAGTATACCGACTCTTGAACTAGTTTGCCAAGCAACAACAACACATCCGATAGGATCCCATAAGTGGGGTTTGGGGAGAGTAGGATGTATGCAGACCCTAGCCCCCACCTTTATGGCGTAGAGAAGTTGTTTTGTCAAGCATAAAACCAAATTTATAAGGTGATTGACTGATTTCATTCTCAGGGCTCGAATCAGAGACCCTCTATAGTAAAGGATGAAGGAGTTTAGGCCACCAAGCACAAGTGTTTGAGGTTAAAGGAGCATATCTTTTTTCTTAAATGTTATGGATGAAAAACAATACATTTAAAAGAAATTTACCACTTGATCATTCGATTGAGGTAGACAGTTCTCTTGGCCAAATCAACTTGCATTGCATCATCCCTCTGGAAATACTCTCTTGCAGCATATCTTAGTTCAGACTCGACATTTTGAGGTGTGAAAAATCTTACTGCTGGACTTGATCTTGTTGCATTGCACAGTCCAAAATGGATTAACGGATTAACTTTCTGAAATGCCATCTGCACATGGGAAGTATGGCATTTAAGATTTTACAGTGGGATCCCGAGGGAGAGTGAAACAGTATGAAGCTCCTAAACATCAATATTTTAGTTTTAAGTGAAATACTGCAGTACTGGTTTTCACTCACAAAACTTCAACTTTCACATATATATTTTTTTTCCTAGTGAAGTTCATGTCCCAACATAACAAACTCCGACAGCTTTCTTTTGACTTCATCGTCAACAACTCTTTTTTTTTATTTTAACTAAAGTATCATTCAAATGCCTACTTAAACTGACATAAGGCTGTAACTTGAGCTGGTAAATTTAAAGCATTGTGACTAAATTGTAGAAATTGTTAGTAAAGTGAATGGGGAATAACGAATATAAAGAAGTATTGAGCAAAACGCTCAAATTGACTCCATGGTGTCTATCAAAACCTCGAGTGACTGAAACAGCATACATGTTTAGTATAAAAAGTATTCAATTAAACAGTTGCAACAGTAGTTATATAAAAATAAGATACAGGGGAGGGGTATTTACCTCCAGACGCCTGTCTCCGCTAGGGAAGGGTCTCATCAGAGTAAAAGGAGCTCTTCGGTTGCTTCTTAGTATGCCATCTTTAAGCCCTGATAGGGAATAGGAATAACCACCAACTATGTACTGGAACTCAGAGAAAAATGCTCTCCTGTCGATCATGCCCCCAGGATGACCAATCCTGATCACGGCATGAATGGCCATAGCATTATACAAATTAAGAAAGAAGGCTAGCTTCTCGTCTGCCGAAAGATTTAGGAGGTTCACCCTGTGGAGATCCTGAACCAGATTTGTATATCTGCATTTATGAGACAACAAAAATATTAGATATCATACAAACCCACCGTCATGGATAAAGGTCTTAGTTTGTGTTTAATTAAGAAATGGACTGTGAAACCTACTAAAGAAAGGAGATGGATTAGCTTTTTCTTTCCGGTCAAATACATAGAGATGTATTAGGTGTCTGTCTGTCAAGAGATGAGTTCTCAAGAGATATTCTGCTACTACCCATAGGAAATTGATTATGAATGAATTAAGAGTTTGATTTCAGCATGATGTAAACCTGACTAATTAGGTTAAATGGAAGGTACAACTCACTTATAACAAAGTTTGAGAAGTAAAGACTAAGATATTCTAGCAGATGATTTCATCTCCTCTTACTTTGAACCAGTATGCAATTTTAAAGATAGGGGTGTTGCTGGTAACGTTCTTCTAATACAAGTTCAGTAATGAACTATCTTTGGGATGGTTGTGAATATGCACTGGAAATCTGGAATTAAGTAATAAGAAGGGCCTTTGTATACTTTTTAAGTCTAAAGTTCCTATTTCCAGCATAGGGCCATAAGCTGCTTATAGATTTCATCTTTATTTGTTTAAGTAGATTAAACCTCTTTAGACTTCCAAGTTCTCTATTAAGCTGACCGGTCTTAATGCAGGAAGTTTCTATAGTAGAAATCAGGCAGGAAAATAAGCATCTCACATGTGCTGACATGTACAATTAACAGCTAACAGACATGGGAGTACTTAAATGCTTTTCGTACAAACTCCTAGTGCAACTTTCCAGTCCTTTTATAAAGGCGGTGCACCAGGTTGAGAGAATACTTAAATGCTTTGTATGGTGAGCTAGAGATGAAGCACAGTGATTATAAGATTTCAGTTGGGAAGCTATTAGCTTATGGAAGGATTGCGTCAGAATTGAAGATAAGGTATGCTGCAATTTGAGATATCTTTCGGTCAATGATATGAAGAGATACATACATACTGTGAATGAAATGAATCCTCACTATACTACCAGGAGAAAAGATTTCTGGGAGGTTGAGATTCCATCTAATTGCCCATGGTGTGGGAGGAGACATTTGAAGCTAAGGCACCTAAGTATATCTCCAGTTGAGTGTGGGCAGGATTAGAAATTGTTCTTCAACCTCTTTCTGGTATGATCCTTTGGCATCCATTGCATCCTATTTGCTTGAATTATATTGCTGCTTTACTCAGGTATCTTTAGTTATATGCTGCAGCTAATGTCATTTACACTATTTACTCATAACAGAAACCACTTCCTCCTTTAAAATTGCCTCTTAAAATCTTTCTCTGGGAACTGTATAACAATAACTATACAGAGAGGGGAAAAGCAAAGGATTAAACAAAAGGTCAAAAATCCTGTAGTCAACAGGAGTAACAGATGTCCTATTCAACCAAAGGATTACATGAAGGTTAAAAAAATATTTGGCAAGCTACCTGAAAGTTCTTTCTAGGATTATGAAGCAAGGAAAGAAAAGACTAGCAAATGAAAAGATATCATCTGCAACATGTTTGCTGACAGAGAAGAGAAACCAAAATAGAAAAATGAGCTGCAGCTGAAGTTACTACAGATTTTTTTATCAAGGAAATCTAAGATGGAGATTACTACTGAAAGCACAAGTCAATTAATACAAGTCACTTAACAGTTTCTGACAAAAAAAAAGAGCAAAATGTAGGTACCTCCGAAATTCTTCGCTATTGCTGATGCCTATATAATCAAGATGATGCCGATCATCAGAGGCGTAAGACTCAAGTAATGCAGACATTATTTTGCCAAGCCTTTGACCTAACACAGCAACATCCTTGGGTTCATTGTCATTTGTGGATCCTCGAAAATTATAGCATTTGGGAACGAAAGGCTCATGTTCAAGGAATCTATAGAAGTGTTTTCCATCTTCAAATTCATTTTCTCTGGCATAAACAGTAGAGTAAAAACATGTTGTCAATAGAATCAAATCTACACTGATGGACAGCGCAGCAGTCATAAAATGCTTTTCAGGTTCTTACCCAAAGACTTGGTGAATAAAATGCCTTCTCGCCAGGTTCTTCCCAATTTCCACAGCCTGTGTTAGATACCAAATAGTTATTACTTTGAAATATAAGTCCATGCCGTATCATAGATAAATATGTTAATGATCCTTAAAAATCAATGGCTTTCTGCTAATTGATGAAGTCGTCGCAAAACAATGGTAGTGTTGTATGCCCACTTCTCAATATCTAACGTTATAAGCGTTTAGAATTCATTTTGCATTATGCTTCCTAGTTTCCACATTGCTATACTTATTTAAGCACTATGCTATGATTGAACCTGAAATAACTTTTATGTTAGTTAAAAAAAAAGTTTGAAATACCAAAAGATTGTGCTACCCTTTTCTTTTCTATTTTCAACAAATTACAGGTAATGAGTAACTCATGCAGACTGGATTCAAGGCCATGCTACACAGATGCTAAAACTCCAGAATTAGTTCCACTAACAATCAGAAATTCAGGCCAATCCAATTAATCCACAAGAAAGTTACTCTACTGAAGATCATATAGGGACAATTGAACTTGAAGCAGAAATGGTACAATAAATGTCATGAGAAAAAAATCATTCCTTTTTAATAAATGATAGTATCAGGACTAATTTGCGCGCACCTCAACTGAACTGAAATAATATCAAGCTACCAGAAAGTTCCTTTACTGGAGATCATGGAAGAAAGATTGTAGTTGAAGCAAACAATAAATGAGAACAAAGAAAAATGTCTAGTTCATTTTTACAATAACGATTGCGTGCACCTCCACTAAACCATTTAGCTACTAGCCATCTATATTTCCTTCCATGTTCATTGACCTTTAGGCTTCTACTAGCCATCTATATTTCATTTTTACAATAACGATTGGTAAATTTGTCACTTTTTTTCTTTTTTGGTACGTAAAAGGTTGTCACTTTTATGGGGAAAAGGAAAGGACGAAAAACTTTATTCATCTCTCAAACCCAGTGAATGGATTGAATTTGAATAATAGAGCATAATATATAGTAGCAAAAGAAAGTATCTTAAGAGAAAAAAATCTTCTATTTGTTTCACGTTGATTTTCTTTTAACCCTCCCTTCTCATCTTTTCCTCTCCTTTCCAATTATAAGGAGAAAAATAAATACAAGATCCAATATTCCTATTAAAAGATCAAATAATTCAAGGGGGTATTTTATTTTTATGAAGGAATGAAACAGTGACTAACTTTCAGCACGTGGGAGAAAAGACCAATTCACGCATCTATGATAATGACGAGGCTAATGCTAATGCTTAAAGTGTACAATTTCCAAATAACTTGTCAAATTGACCCAAGAAACATAATGACTTACATTAATAATTTCCAAGTCAATTGATTGCACTAATTTCAAAAGCGTGTGGGACTGTGGGTAATATACTCATTATCAGCGCACGAGATTGACGGGACCGTTGGATAGCGGAGCTTTTCCTAGTTCTAAGTGAGGCCAAGCTAGACGTGTGGTTCGGGTAGAAACTGCTTGACTTTATTCATTTGACGGTGACCAAAGCCTGTACTATGGCCTATCTACTTTAAACCCATTTCATGCTACTAGTACATAGTATGACTTAATTTTAAAAATCACGTGGGGTAAAAGAGATCTTTGATTTGGGCCTCGAAAATGAAATCATTTTTAATAAAGAGTGTTTTAAAATAGGACTTCATAGCATGAATTTGAATTAGTTGAGGCAAAATATACATTGAAAGGGTTCAAAATTAAATTGACCATTAGCACTACCATTTATACAACAACAGCAAAAATATATCCAAAACTCCATAAGTGGAGTTAAACAATGGTTGCATGTGCGCAGCCTTACTTTTACCTTATGAGGATAGAGAGGTCATTTCGGATAGACACTCGACTTAAAATAAAGCATAACAAAATAAAAAGAAGGATAGCATTCCAAGTAGCACCAACAAATAATATGATAATCGAAGCAAAAAAAACTAACAAGTAATAATAATAAAGTGAGAGTGAAAAAATACCAATACCATTGATAAGGAAAAACATACCGTAAAACTATCTATTAACCTTGTGCTCTCTAATCGTTGACGTGTATATTTTCTTATCTAAAGTCATATCATTAATAAGTTATTAGGAGTATACTTCCATTTATGCTGTAAATTATTATCTGTCTCAAATTTATTGGACAATATGTATGATACGGATCTTTCATTTTGTAAATAAGGAATATCTTGTCGCAAAAATTTCTATGTCGAACATTGTTTGGCACCACTGCGCAACTACATGCATTTATAAGGTCAAACTATTTTTCTTTGCCTAAAATAATTTGTTACTTCTTATTATAAAATTATTATTTGTGCCTACGTGTTACCAAACACTTAAAATTTTATATCGAAAGACGAAAACCAAATTATTTTTTACTCAAACATGGAAATTAGCTGAGTTGACCCTTGCACACCGTACCATCTTATTATTCTTTTGGGGCTACGTGAACAATACTTTTAAAATATAGTACTTATAATACTATAATTATAATATAGTATATAATAAGGTGGATATAAAAATTTCCATTAATACCTGCACACGATAGGTTCCCAAAATACCTCCAAATCCTAAAATACTGTAGAATCTAATCAAACGTCATCTCTACAGTAAAAAATTCGTTCATTTGCGTGCTTGCGTCTCCGATTAAGATTAGTAGATAATAATACAATTTGTTGTGAACGTTAGGTGCCTATAATTTCATTTTGAATAACGAACACTAATCCTTTGGTCATCCATATTTTAAGATGTATTTTTTATTATGTATGCGGATAATTTTGGACAATTTTTTTAAATATCTAAATTCAATTATTGCAATATTGAATTAATACTCTTAATCTAATTTAGTATTAATGAGAAAGAAGCGAGAAGCATACCTTTTTTCTGCCGCAGTCCAAGTGGTGGATCAAAACCTCCACAAGCTCCCCGCCGGAGAAGCAATTTTTTACTATTTTCATCCTCATGATTCTGTCCTGTATTGGAAGCTTTTGCCTCAATACTCTCACAATTTCTACCATTTCGTCGTTTTGCTCCTCGTAATCGTCGTCGAAACCGTAAACCGGTGGTGCCGGTGCATCCTCCGGGCATTTTCCGGCCAACATTTCCGCAAATTTCTTCTCCAACATCCCGCTATTCCGTAGCGAGTTCAACACCACCAATCCACCTAACAACTTCTCATTCAGAAATATCTGCGGCACATTAGCACTTCCGGTCCTCTCAATTAGTTCCTTCTCTCTTTTAGGATACACATCGACGTTAATTTCCACGTAGTTTAGGTTTTCCTTGTGCAGAAACAACCTCACAGCGGTGCAATCCCTGCAATTAGATCTCGAGAAGAAACTCACTCTTCCGGGCAGCTTCTTCACCGGAGGTTTTAAGTTCACAATCACTTTCATTCCAGAGAGATCAAACTCCGTCACCTGCTGCGATTCCGATTTCATCACCACTTTCTCATCATCAAACTGATCCCTCATCGACGACAACCGCTTCGTTATCGCCGACGATAAACTATTACTCTTCTCACGAAAGAATTTCCCGATCGCCGGCATGTCAAAACTCTCCGGCATGGACTGAGACCGGTTCAATTCACCTGGAGATACAGTAATCGCTACTCCGGCAGGTACCTCCGGTTGCGGCAACAAGCTATGCGGCTTGATTACACCTAATAAGTTGCCGTTTTCCTTAACTGAATCATCAATGATTCTAGAAACAGCTGAATTAATATCTTCCGCTCCTCCTCCTTCATTCTCTGCGTGAATATCGGAATTCAAAATATTAACAGAATCAACGGAATTGGAATTTCCTTTTTCGTTACCGTTTTCGTCGGAAATCATACCTTCTTCTGCTTCAACTTCTACTTCTACTTCTACTTCTGCTTCCTCTGTTTTGTATAAATTGATAGAATCTATTTTCTCCATTGAAGGAAGAGAGAGAAAGTGAAGAAATTTAAGAATGGTGAATTCTAACAGGGCGAAAAAACGTGAAGAGGTTGAGAGAGAGGGAGATGCTATTTATAGACAAAATGAAATTGAAAGGAAAAAAATGTGAACAAGTCAACAAAAATGGAAGATTATGGATATGCCCATTTGAATTCATAGCTCGTTTTAGTTAAAAATCTTTTTATTAAGTAATGATTATTTTTAGTTTTAAATAAATATTTTTTTTCTTGTTTTGTTGATTTTTATGTGGTATGATATACGTTCTATCAAATTAATAGTTACCCAATTGTTTATCATTTTCGTATTTAATATTATAGTGAGTAAGTGAAATGATGTGAAGGACTAATATGGATTGTGGTGTAGTGATGGAACTGTTCGATTCTTATCATAGATCTCAAATTTGAGTTTTAATTATGAAAAAAATCACTTCATAATCCTGCAGAGCGTGATTCAAATTTAATGGAAGCTCTGATATGAACTTCGGATACTGAATGAAAAAATTGATGTCATGGATCATAAGAAAAATAAAATATTAAAAATAGCATAGATTTAAAAGAAAAGGGGGGGGGGGGGGGGGGGGAGAGAAGGGAAAAAGTATGCAAAGTGAAAAATTGTCTTCTAACATAAATATATATAAAAAAGGAAAAACTTTAATATCAAAGAGCTGAAAAAATCAATTAGTAGAGTTACTAATTTGAATTAGTCTAGCATTTTGTTTCGTAGGTGATTAAAATTGGAATGGCAAAATCACCAACTCAATTTTGACAACATCAAAAATCAGTATTTTAAAAAGTGAAAGAAATTTTACACACGATTTTAATAGAAATTATTAAACGAGTCTTGAATTTGAATGTTAGACGTATTTAGAATGTATAGTCAAATATTCAAAGTATGAATCTCACAAAACTAAGCCTCACACGTAAATTTTAAGATATTTTACCGGCATTCCATTTCAAAATGAATGATAATAAAAAACCTTCTTCTTCTATGTCAAAAAGATTCAATCACATCTTCTTCTTCTTCTTTTTTCTCTATGAGACATGTACACGTTCAAAGTATTTAAACATGTTATTTACACCTTGAAATAAATTTTCCCACGAAAATTCAATTTTTGTAATTAAATTTCATAGTACTAAAAATATAGTAGTAGACTACTATTATTTCTAAACAACAAAAATTCTATCATTATTCCTATTTAGTGTTGTATTATAGCTTCGAGATATATAACTATGTTTTATAGCTATATGTTATATATAAATTATAAAAAAAAAAAAAACATTAGTAATAAGTTCTGTGTTTTACTAGGTCTAGCAAGGTATGTGGTAAGTGTACTAGTTATTTTAATACTATATTATAATCATATTATCTCATATAAGTTGGTTGCCTAACATTATCATTATCATTATTATTAATTATTTAGGTCATCATTTACATTAATGTGAGCATTTGACTTGGCCCTTCGGATCACTATGTTTCTTAAAATTTCCATTTTTAGGGATTTAAATTTGAGGTAATGGTATTTTTGGTCCTTAGTCTCCCTCCGTCTTCTTTTAATTGTTATATTAAGCTTTTCGAAAGTCAATCTGATTAATTTTTAAAGTTAAATTAAATTACATTAATTTGATATTTTAAAACTAAAAATATAGATATTCAAAAACTATATGAAAAGTACTATAAATTGCAATTTTTTGTATATCAATATGATTAAAAATATACATCGTAAAATATTAGTCAAAGTTCTTGCCGTTTGACTCCTAAAAGGAAAATCATAACAATTAAATGGGGGCAAAGAGAGTATTTATTACATTTAAAATTTTAATCCTTATGACTAATCTGACTAATTCTATTTAATTTTTAATTATTTAAACTATTCACTTTTGATCCTTCTCGTGATTATGAGGACTAGAATAAAAATTTACAAATAATTTAGGGAATGACTAAAAGATATTTTTGTTATGATAAATCAAATGGTTGATCGAGAAAGCTCCACCCAAATATGTTCATTGAGCCAGAAAAGGCTATCTATTAACTTAATTTCTTTGTTTAAATGAGGACTTTTTTTTTTATTTCTCACTTGATTTCTTACGGTCAAATTGGAACTTCGACTAATCTGTTGTATAAGATTCATATAAGAGGCAAGCACTATTTAACAAGATATTTTCTATACTCAGAACTCAAATATGCAAGACCTCTAATAAAAATTGATAAATTATCCAATCACAATTTTTTTTTACCAAACTTAATATGTTTACCTCTTCAAATTTCATTTTAAAGACCAAGTACACCTTTGAAGATGAAGTCAATTTTTTTGATATATCATCACTATAAACTTAAACTATAGTATATTAGATGTGATGACCAAAATCAAAGATATTCAAGCTACCAAGGCACTAAGGATAGACCACTAAGGACAGAGTCAATAAGTGGATTATTATTGTTATTTTTTATCCAATAAATTTATTTCTTGTTTGTTAGTATTAGACATGTTATGCTTTTTAAGATAGAGAGTCAATTTTAATTATTTATTTTTTGCAGGTTTTGCTTGTTTGAATAAATCAATTAGATTGACAATAACTCAGAATACCAAGATTTCAAATTGCTTGCAAAATAATAGTTATCCAATTAGATCAATTTTAAATATATATATTATTCATTGATAATTTGGAATAAAATACTAAGCAATTTTCTATACAAATTAAATTACATTAAAAAATAATAAAAACTCATTACATAATAGTATAATATAATTTAAACTCATCTTAAAACATACGCGAATATAATTGATGATTTACAGGTTCGTCTGAATTCAATAATTTTGATTTTTAACCTTATATATGCATTAATTATTATTAAATAAATCCAAATAATAAATTTTGAATCCCATAATTAATCAAGTGAATATGACAAAACTCATGAACTCAAACATATATTGTTTATATAATCCTAAATTTGGAATAAATACTAAACAAATTTCTACAACAAAATTAAATTACACTAATAATAATTTAAAAAATTCATTACATAATCAATATAAATAATACAAACTCATCTAAAACACACGTGAATACAATTGATAACTTACAGGTTCATCTGAACTCAATAATTTTGACTCTGAATATATACATTAAAAATTATTAAATAAATCCAAATAATATATTTTGAATCCCATAATTAATCGAGTTAATATGACAAAACTCATGAACTCAAACATATATTGTTTATATATATCCTAAATTTGTCTCCATTTTTAAAAATTATATTGTGAATTAAATAATAGTTGCTTTCTTGGACTATGTCTACATTACTTTTACTTATTTCTTAGATAGAAATTCCGGCAGATTAAAGACAAAGTCAAAAAAAAAAAAAAGAATTATGGCCGTCCAAGCAAAATGCTGCAACTTCCTTCCTAATTCTTTTAATAATAATAAATATAATATTCGAGTAGATTGTATCATTTTATGTTATTACTTAATATTATACATTAGCAATTTAAAGGATAATTTTTTTTAAAAAAAAGGTAAAGTATGGGATAGCACCACTATAAAAATGTAGGGCAGAGAATGAAATAAAATTATTAAATAATGAGGAAAGATAAAATAATATATATATATATATATATATAAGGTAACGACATGATCATGTCAAATCAATCGTTACATAAATTGAAATTTTCTGTTGTTACCGAATAATGAACTTAATGATGTGATACAACAAATAATAATTAACATAAATATTTATTTAAACTAACAACACAATAATTAATGAATTTTATATGAATATAAGTTGGAGACTAGAAATTTCCCGAATAGCACTCTTGTTGTGTTATTTTTTTCTCATTCTTTTTGAACCGCTAATTAATATGGAGAATTATAATGTGATGTATAAGAGAAAATATTAAACTTAAGTTAAATTATCATCAATCGAGTTAATATTTTCTTTAAGAAGTGTGTAAAATAAAACATAACAAGTAAAATATTTTTAAAAAGTATTTACCATGAGGTACCATCGTAATACTTATTTCAATTCCACAAAAAATTATTGAAGTTTGAGGTTCATTTTAAATCCATGAATTTGTTTTGGACTTCGAAATGTGTCAATTCAAACTCCAAGAAGCAACATTTTGAACTTCAATATCCTATATTGGAGTTGTTTGTATTTTAGTTAGGTATATCGCATTCAAATGTTATTTTTAAAATGATTTATTTCTCAATTAAATTTAAACGATAGTGAAATATCAATAAGTGGTTCAAAACCTAATCATCTAGCCTAATTTTTACCATTATGACACACAAAGGCCTTACTAATTTCAAATAAAGTGAATAATGTAACAATCGTGATTATTAAGTTAATTTATTAAGTCCTTTTCAAGATATTCGATAAAATTGAAATGACGTAGAAAAAATAATATAATCATAATAACGAGCCACTTAGAAAAAAAATTAAAAGAAAAAGTTTATAAATATATCAATTTGCATCACCAATTTCTAACTCTCTTAAAATTCTACAGTTTTTCTTTTCAAATGGAAACCAAAACAATACCCACTTTAATAACGTTCTAAACATGTGTCATAAGAAAAATAATATAGACCAACATTCACTTTTCACAATATTTAATATGTGAGTTGTTATAACTGTTAGGATTATAATGAAGTGATGAATGTCTTTTAATCAAGATCTAATTTAAATTTTAGATATAAATTTACTTTTATTAGAGAGCGTTTTATCTTTATAAAATTTTCTAATATAAAAGAATGTCTTAAATCGATAAAGTTGATAGTGGACTAATAAACATAAGGAAATATAGAAAAGATAAATTATATTGATATCTTCTTGAATTGATGGAAATAAGTGGTGAGTTTTTCAATTGATTTGCATGCAATGATATTTTATGTGGATTTAGTTGTCGATGAATGCATAAATAATAAATATTCTTCTAAAAAAATAAATTTAAAATATTTTTATCACCTAGGTTGGAGAATTTATGGACAAAATCAGATTTAAAAAATTC